GTTAGCAAAACCTTAACCAAACAGGTATTAGGAGCAATATCCTGAAGTAGATTCGAGGGCTGCTATTTGGCCGCTATCAAATTGTTCGTGTGGGTTATCAGTAATTGGTGGAGGTTTTGGTTGAGATTGTTGTTTCCCAAAGCTCCGTTCATGGGCATGCACAGTTTATTATGTAAGTCGACGACTGCATCAAAGAACTGGATTGTGATTTCGCTGCGTTTTCCGATGACACTGAGGTTCGGAGCTTCATCAGAACTGCAGCTAACGAAGAGCGTCTGTTGGTAACACTAAATCGACTTCAGCAATGGGAATAAGACTGCCTTCTCTGATTAATGAGAAAAATGACAATATTCTACGGGTTGGCCGAAAACGCTCTCAGAAGCTCATTATTTACTGCCTGAACGGCATACCATTGCAAAAAGTGCACAGGCAGAAAGAATTGGGAATATGGATTACGACTGCATTGTTATAATAATAAAAATGTTTATTTGTAAAGCACATCTTCGGCGCCGTTAGAATGTAACTGAACCTGTGATGTCAGTCCTGTACCTGTCAAATGGGCTTTCTCTGCGTCTGATGAAGACTGCTTCGCTAAAGTCTTCGAAACCTTTGTACGGTCGCAACTGGATTTCGCTATTCAAACTTTGAGGACCGGGACTGCGGAAGGCCTCAATGTCTTCGAAAATCTTCAAAGGCGTGCAACCAAACTTGTGACCGGACAGGGCTTGTTACCCTATGAAACACGCTTGTCTAATCTTGATGTTTCCTTTAATTTATAGACGGCTACGTGGTGACGTGGTTCAAACAGTTCTTACCACACGCGGTTACGACCGATACATTCTAACTGATGACTTCTTCCAGTTATCAACAACTACGAACTCGAACGGTCATCCATCGAAACTACGTGTAGCTATGGCCAGTTTGGATACATGAGTGTTCTTCTTTTGCAATAGACAGGTCAAACTTTGGAAAGTTTTGGCCCTGGATGTTGTTACGACCGCTTCCGTTGAAGTCTTGAAGAGGATGCTGGGTCGGTATAGCAGTGTCTTACAGGCACGTGCAGTGCAGCCTGCACGGGACATTCCGGATACTCCGGGGCCACGGTTCTTCCCTGAAATTGGAGGACTTCTTCGACTTAACCGACACGAGTCGCCTGCGTGGGCATCCTTACAAAGTCACAAACGAGCGCACTCGACTGGACCT